TTCTAAATGTCTTACATGTTGACAACTTTGAATTATCATATATATTAATAAAGATCATAAATTATATGACAAGGGTCACTGTCAGGGTGAAAATATATATTTTAGGTTTTTTTTATAATATGCTATTTTTATATGTTCTAACATGTGATTTATTCATGGCACAGCTGGCATCTTAGAAAGTAAAAATGCACTTGGTCAAATTTATGCTATTGTGCAGATATAAGAAAGAGCACAGGCCGGAAGGCAGAGAAACCTGTGTTCCAACACCAGCATTGTGCCCAGAGTTGTGTTGTGTAAGCCTGGTTAATGATCTCTCTGTGCTGGGGATTAAATGAAACAACACACATTGGAAAGCCGAGCACAGCCACTCAATGAGTAAAAAATCCTTTCCCCGATTTATTTATATTCAAACAATAGCTAAACATCACAGTCTCCTGTTATGGTACAATTTGAAAAGGTGGAGGGAAAAATCAAGAAATTAAAATATAAAAATCAACGTGCCTTTAAAAATTATATGACTATTAAATAAAGAAATCTGTCAGTGTGCTTAAATACTTCCTAACAAAACTTAGTGTCTACTATACCCTGATTTAAAAAGAGAAAATTCCTGAAGTATGATAAAATGGTCAATGATTAAGGACTTTTGGTTTACTTTTGTGCTCTGATATAAAAATAATGGCTATATTTAAGGCTCCTTAAGTGATTGTTTGTCGTTGCCCTGAACCAAAACTATATTCTGGATGTTGTACTGTCAGTTCAAGAGATCTACTACTGCCTTGAACCACCACCCGAGAGTAGCACTCCGGACAGCCTATGGCTGAGCAAATCGTGTCCTCTGTTCTAAGTGGACGTTCATTTCCTGGCATGTGGCAGTCCAACTCATCTGTCACTAAGGAAGATTCTTATAACACACCATCTTTCACATGCTAAATACATGTGGTTTGACGATAATACAGTTCCTGGAAATTAAATTTAAATTGTCACAGGAATAGAATACTCTAGGCAGCAATGCCCACACCCCTTATTTTCAGTTATTTCCTGCTCTGGCCAACCTTCCAAAAGATCTCTTCTCCGGGACCCTTTTCCTCCCAAACCTTGTATCCCTCCATTTATGTCCCTTACATTTACATAAAATTTATATTAACCTTAACTTCAATATACTATTATTCATGTTTCATGTTTGCCTTGGACCTTCAGCTAAAGTATCGTCTATTTCACCTTCTAACCTTCTGGCACAGTGCTGTGCATACATGTGTGACTATGTGTGTACACACAGGTATGTGGTGTTGTGTGTGTGTGTGTGTGTGTGTGTGCAGATTGAATGTATACAAAACTAAAGAACTTAGGTGGCTGTAGGGTACCAAAAGTTTCCTAATTTTCCAGAAATCAAAATTGCTGACTTTTCCTAATATTAAAAATTGGTTTCCAAAGCTTTATGCTTTTAAGAATGGCAAGAATAAAAAGGCAGTGAAAAAGAACAGTTTCAAAAAATCCTCATGGAATACTTCAAAAGGTTTTTAATAAATTATTAAGAGCACCAAACCAAAACATTTTAATAAATAGTAGCATAACCTTTCCTATGACTTTACAAACACCGACTATTCATTCTATGAAAAGAATACTGAGGGTGAAGGGAGACGTCGGACAGGGCAAGATATGACAAAATACCAATTTATAAACTATCAAGGGCTCATGAGGGAGGGGGG